TTGATCTCTTGGTCTAGAGATCAGTGTGCAATTGGTAAGGATCTGTTAATTGGTGTTGCAATTTACAGGGACTTACAAATTGGTCAGGTTTGATTTTAATTTTGTACTTGATTCAAAATTATAGTGGAAATCTCAAGCGGGATTTGCTTGGGGACTGAATGTACACCAGATTGGTAGAACCAGTATAAAAACTCTTGTTTGTGATTATAATTTTCTGAGATTGTTGTCATTCTTTCTTTGTAATTTATAATCTACTTTGCATAATTTTTAAAAGAATACTATTCATCCCCCCTCTAGTGTTCTAGTGTATCTATTTCAGATCCTACAAATGAAACCTGATTAGGCACTACTTAATACATTGATGGATGATGGAGTCCAGAGACAAACACTTTTCATCCACGTGTCGGCGAGTCGATTACTACTCTCCAAGACATAGTAGTAATCGTTGGTCTCTGCATTGATGATCCTTGTGTTACAGGGACAGATAGAGATGTTTGGAGCTAAGTTTGTGATGAGTTGTTAGGAGTATCTCTGAGTCATTGCCTAGGGGTATATTAGATTGAAGTGGCTTAAAGAAAATTTCTCACACCCATTGCTAGAAGATGCATCCTAAGTCATGATCGAGTAACATACTCATGCATATATTTTGCACATGATCGGGACGCTTCTATTCCCCGATTCAAGTAAAGATAAAGTACATTTGAGATAATATAATTATTCCCAACATTTAACTATTTGTAGAAATTATTCATCTAAAATATCCTTTTATGACATATGAGAATATTAATTGAATACAACTTGTCATTCATATAATGCACTTTATTGGTCATTTTTTCTAGATTATTACTCATCATTCATATAATACAACTAAATACATTTTTAATGTGATGGGTGGGTACCATTTGTCCAGAACTTCGACACATGTGAGACATTATCATGGAGTAGTGTTGTTTTAGCATACCTATATAGGGAAATGTGAAAAGTTGTTTATAGACAAAATAAAGAGCTAAAGTGGTGTTTGACATTATTACAAGTTTGGGAATGAGAGAGATTGGTTTTCAAACCAAGATTATGCGAGATGTGAGATTTAGATGGATAGATTCCATTGGGCTACATGTAAATAATTTCATATCTAATTAAAAAAAATTTGATTTTTAATTTTAATTATGGTATTAGATTCTAGCATTTTATCATTCATGCAAATGGAACGTCCAAAACTACTAAAATGAGGCTCTTGCAAGACAATTAGATTTTTATAGAGGAGAGGTCGACCAGATAAAAAATTTTCAGGTATCAAATTTTAATTTAAGAAAATTTAAGCTACTGATATATTTTAAAGAGTTACTAATATGTGTAATATTTTGTAGTTCGTGTGGCAGCCATACAAAACTTACCTACATCATCGATCTACCACTGATTAGCATGGAGGGACACGGTATATGGAGAGCAAGAGTTACTCTCATCTGCTTTGAAATTATGGAGATGCATGTGCCAGATCACATGCTTAGGTAGTTTGGTTTGGCACAACACGCTCCACAAGAAGTAGAAAGAATAGAGAGAAAGACGTCCAAAGGTGGACATCAAATTGACTATACAAATTCACATAATCAGTATATTGCTAGATGGAATAAGCGACATTTCAATATCGTCGAACAACTTTTTATCCTCTGATGGAGGAAACATATTATATAAGATAGTATTGAGGGATTACCAGAAGATGGATAATCACTCAAACCATGCTCCTAGTTGACGAACTCGAGATACGTTCCCAACAAGCAAGATACATAACAAGAGGTGTATATATATAGAATGGATAAGTAAATTACGTAATTTCAAATAGTTTTCCATCAATTTTTAGTTTTTTTAACCCTTGTTAGCTTTTGGTTGCTTTTACACACACACACACACACACACACACACACACACATTTTTACGCGATTGCAAATAGACACTACGGATGAGATAGAGAGGATTACAAATGAGGACATAGCTACCGCAAGAGGAGATTATGTACATATATCGGTATTGCAGCGGATAGTGCGGAAGGTTCGTAGAGCTCTACATCGAACTCATGAAGATTGACACGATGGTCGCGAGGAGATGGCGCATGAGGAGGATGTCTTATATGCATGCCGACGAAGACGTGGTGGATCTTGCTCGCATGACAATAAAGTTGATGCGTCACAACCCCACACATAACCGAAGAGCGAGCACGTACAAGCTCAAGTTGAAGGAGGACGCTGATGATCTGAGCGGGTATGAAGAGGGAGACAGTGTGGAAGGGGTGGACTTTTAGGTTGTATGTGATAGTTTATTGTTTTTTTTACTTAGACTCTATTCGTAACTAAATTTATTGGATACGTTTAGATTTGTTGGGAGTATTTTGGGGTGTGTGTGCGCGCGCGTGTGTGTATGAGCCATCGATTGTGTCATGATGTTGTAAATTGATTAAATATGTTTTAATTTATGTTTAATTCTTAAAATTTATAACTTATATAACAATTATACTGTTTAGCAATGTATATGACGTGGATTTAAATTTTTTTGTGTATATGATACATTGTATATACGCATGGTGTAAATCGGGATCAATCTATGCATGTTTTGTGCAGGTTTTGGGTTGCCCAAAAATCCACAGGACTACTAGTCCCATGGGTTTTCTGGGCAGCAGAGAACAAAGTCTCTGTAAAATCCACGGGACTACTAGTCCCGTGGATATTCTAAAACTTTCGAAAACCCACGTGACTATTAGTCTCGTGGGTGTTTTGTGTTTAGTTTAGTGGCCAATTAGCGGTCACTAAATACATGAGACTACTAGTCCTGTGTGTTTTAAAACCCAAATTTATCAAAACTGATATCTTTTTGGCTAGCCGCTAGCCAAAAGAGGTCGGTTTTCCTAAATGTTTAGCAAAACTGTTAGTTTTGCCAAATATTTTTCAAAACCGGCCTACCTCAAAAATTTCTCCTAAAACAAATATTAATCTAATTTTAAATTAAATTTTTTTATCATAGATATTATATAAAAATTTCCCTCTCGTGCATATTGCTCGTCAAAAAAAAAAAAAAAATCCCTCGAAATATATTTCCAACGTTAATTTCTAATAAATATACCTGCACAAAACTTCATTTTATTAAATCTAACTATATATAAGAAAGGTAAAAAAAAATTAAACCGTTTTTTTCTTTTTAGTTTTTTCTTTTTAGTTTAAAAATGAAAGAAGAGTTAGGAGATGCACCTCGATGGCTGGATCCCAAATAAAATCCTCCCCCTCCAACAGCGAGAGAGCACAAAGAGCAACCAAACTGACCTTCAACCTTGAGAATGACATCGGAGACTAGGAGAGCTTAAGCTCCTGCGACACGAGTACCTGCCTGCCTTCGTTTAACACCGAAGTTGTGAAACATGTGAAATTTGGTAGTAGTTTGTCCTCGTCCTCCCACCCCCAATTCACCGAGAAACTTCTGATTTCTTCTGATCGTACGAAGGCCAGACCGTGGTTACGAATTTAGACAAGAGATCATACGAGCTCAATGTGATGTTCGCTATCTTGGTATGTATAAAAGAAGACTAGCTAGTTTAAGAAAAACTAAAGAAATGACTGGTCCGACTCTGTTCCCTTTGTCAAATTGAAAACTAGTTTTCAGTCCTGGGACCAGATTTATACCCACTAAAACTGATTTAATTTGTGAAGTCCAAATAGATTGGGTTCTCATGGTCTAGCCACCTTGAATATATGACCTACATATTTATCTTGGACAAATTTTTAAAACCATCCCTTTTTAAAATTTATTTATAAAAAACGACCCATTTCAACTTTAATTACAAAAACAGAACCGGTTGGATGAAACTGGGTCTGTTTTTGAAAAAAAAAAAAATTCAAACTTCACAGGAGTTGAACTCCCGTGAAGTTTTGTTATGAGAAAAAACTTCACGGGAGTTCAACTCCCGTGAAGTTTGAATTTTTTTTTTCAAAAACAGACCCAGTTTCATCCAACTGGGTCTGTTTTTGTAATTAAAGTTGAAAATGGTCTTTTTTAGGAATAAATTTCAAAACCGGATGGTTTTGAAAATTTGTCCTATTTATCTTATATATGGATTTATCCCTATTTTTTTGGGGTGCAACATGAGAGCTTTGTTATAGGGGACTTCTATGTCTGAGGGAGAGTTGAACGAACATGAAGCAAATCTATCCGATCATTTTTTATTGCAACGGGAGAGCTTGGTTAGAGGACTTCTACATTATACGAATCCGGGACCGTTGAACATGAAGCAAACCTCTCCGATCGTCCTGAGATACCTTGATTGGATATTGTTTGTTAACTTACACTTTCATTCTTTGATCTTGAGCTAAACTATCTTTCTTTTTTAATATTTTTATCGTATCTTAAGCTTGGAAGGGAAAACTGATAAAATGTCTTCTCTATCCTTTAGTAACCCTTTGCTTCTGTACCCTCAAAATTATCCTATTTCTAAATTTGAATTCGGGCATGCTAATCTACCCCTATAAAATCAATAAGAAAGAATGTAAATTAACACATGTGAAATTTAGAGGGTAAATATGCAACTATGATATAAGCGGGAGGCGTGTCATTAAAAACCCTAATCATTCAAGGTTAAATCTGTAAATTATTGTTTCTTGCATGAAAGAATCGTTATTAGGGGCTGTTTGGTTGTATGTTTTTACCATGTAAAAGGATGGAAAGTGTAAAAAAGTGGGTCCCAATGTCAGCTTTCATCACTTTCAATTGTTTGTTTGTAGTTGTGAAAATAGTGTAAAATGATTTCATATGCTGATGTGGCTTGTAAAGTGATTTCATAAAAAAAGACATGATTTTAGGAGAAAGCTGACCTTGAAGTCAGGAAAAAATAATAAAAAATAATTCCAACCAAGGGAAAGAAAAAGAAAAAAAAGGTCAAAAAATAAAATAAAAAATTCCCGCACTAAACAATTAAATTAAGTTTCTTGCTCGCCACGCTGCCCCTCTTTTATCAATTGCTCCCCTCTGCCCTTTTTGACTTCGGATCAATTAATCAGCAAGAAGAGGGGGAATAAAAAAAAAATGGAAAAAAAGCAAAGCAAGAGGAAGACGAGTCCATCCCTCGCAAATCTCTGCATCGAATCTGCGAGCTCCAGCAGAGAGATCGTCGAGACATGGCGACGTCAGAAGCAATTAATCAGCAAGAAGAGGGGGAATAAAAAAAAAATGGAAAAAAAGCAAAGCAAGAGGAAGACGAGTCCATCCCTCGCAAATCTCTGCATCGAATCTGCGAGCTCCAGCAGAGAGATCGTCGAGACATGGCGACGTCAGAAGCGAACCCTGGAGCGCCTCCCCTCCCACCTCGCCGACGCCCTCTTCCGCCGCCTCCGCCACCGCCGCCTCCTCTACCCTTCCCTCCTCGAGTCCGTTCAAAACCCCAGCCCTAACTTTTTTTTATTTTATTTTGGACCTTTTTTGTTGGAGTCTGTGAAATTTATTTTGATTTTGTGCAGGGTTTTCCAGCATTGCGTTGAAGAGGTTGATCTGAGTGGGGAGAGCAGCGTGGATGCTGAGTGGATGGCTTATTTGGGGGGATTTCGGAATCTTCGAATTTTGAAGCTTTCGGATTGCAGGAGTTTGAATAATCATGCTCTTTGGCCTGTTACAGGTATCAATTTCTAAATTAAATTGTGGTAATTTTTTATGTGCTTTTTACCTATATACTCTCAAATCAACCATAACCGCGAATTTACCTTCTAAATCTAAATATTTGCCAGTTTATGGCAATTCTAATGGGTTATGTTAAAAAACTAACGATCTTTAAGTTTGGGGTATTTCACTAAGTATGGTTGAATTGGGGGTAAATTTAGAAGACATCTAGATTTGAGGGGTAATGCAGATATGGTTGATTTGGGGGTATATAGGTGAAAAAAATCTTTTATCCTATTGGACTATTTTTTTTCCTCTTCAAATTTTCATTGGGTGTTCTGTAAAAGTTTGTGCTTTAAATAGGAAAGGTTTCGCTTGTGCTAACAAGCAACCAGGCTTGCCTATTGTGGGGGTTTACATTTTAATTGCTTTGTGCTGGGTTTGTTCTCCTTCATTGTGACAGTTTCTAGCTTCGAATGGATTTGAAAACCTTTGATACTATGTATTCCGTGCTTACATTGAATCCTTATCATAATCTTTTAATAAAAGATGTTCAAAATAGCTGAAAAGTCTGAATTCTGTAGTCCTTTTTGGAGCACTAAGTGAGAGCATTAGGTGAGTTTACTGCTATGTTAAGTCTCTTGGGTACTCCATGCTATTTAACTGTTAATCTAATTCATTTATGCGTATACATTTTACTGAAAATTGCACAAGCTTAGCTTCATTCTTAGGTTGCTTCTCAGATACAGAACTGCAAATATTGTCCAATAGTTAAATTATAAATTTTATGTAGATGATAAAATTTTAAACATTGAAAGGTAGTTGAGCGATATATTTAAATTCATTATGCGTGATGGTTTGAGTATTTGGAATACACACACAAGGTAAATGGTTAGTATTGTTAAAATTGGAAAAAATTTATTCCAAATTCTTTTGTTTCCATCCAATCATCCCTTTGTATTTGGAATTTGGGCATGTTGAAAGTGGGTCCTTCATCTCAAACCTATGCATGTGAGGAAGGTTGATGCAAGAATCTGCTCCTCCTTTGGTGAATCGTAAACCTCCACAATAGAGCTATGGCTGCTAAGCATGACTACACCAGACTCATGTTTATGATCTCCTGTATCAGTGTGATCCCTCATCTATAAGCTGTATGTGCTTTAAGGCATAACATATTGTCTCTTTCTTTTGCCTGTTCTGTTTTTTAGGAGAAACTACCGAGCCACAATGCCTTTCTTTTCATTGTCCATTGTATATTTGTATGTGATTATAAGTTTTTACCATAGGAAGGGGGTAAGTCGCCGGTAAATGACAAATGACTACGTTGGAGATTATTCCTCTCAAAAAAAGTGTAGTTATTTGTCAATCACAGCTCCTTTACCCCCCGGGGTGTTCCGGTGAGAAAAGTTTAAACTTCATGAGGGTTTTCTGCTATGTTACCTGGGTACTTCTGATATGAAGCCATACCCATAATGGACACGTGCCCATACCCAAACTCCTTCTCCTTGGACACTCTTTGCATATATGCATATATTTATTCGGGCATGCAATCGATTACACAATACATGTGTTAATTTAACAAAATTGTCATACATTTTCTGGACATATATCCCACACTTCACATCCACTTCTTGAAAGTTGTTGGACATAGATCAGTTCGAAATTATGATTTTAAAGGATCGTTTGGATGTCTAGTTCAAAAACTAGTGATTTTCCAATTTATAACCCGCATAATAAAAAAAATGTTATAGGAAATTTAAATCTCATCAGTGTTCTCATATGAATTATTAATTCCAATATATAATATATGTGTATAGATATATTAATATAGTCATGTACTCGTACCCTACTTTTTACAAATTTACTGTGTCCTGTACCCATGCAACATATGTTCTCTGAGATAAGCTAAAGTTCAGGGGAATTACTATAATAAAAAAGTTAAGGAGATTTATCTGCACATTCCCATTTATTTATTTATTTTATTTTTTTGGGTTTTTTTTGTTGTATGACATCAAGTTACAGATTTTTATCTATCTATTTTTATCTATCTAATCACATGTGTTCTGTCTCACAACTTTACATTCATTAAGTTGATTATGAATCTGATCTCATATGTATATGATCTTTTTGGTCTTAGGATTGGATGGTTTAAAAGAGTTGGACTTGTCAAGATGCTCAAAGGTTACAGATGCTGGTATTAAGCATGTGTTATCTATTCCAAGTTTGGAAAAGCTATTTGCATCTGAAACTGGCATGAGTGCTGAGGGTGTGAAAGCTCTCTCCTATTTTACAAGTCTGCGAACCCTGGATTTAGGAGGGATACCTGTAACTGACAAGGCACTGGGTTCATTACAGGTATCTTTTGAATATACCTTTATATAATGTCTTCCATACTGAAATTCACAATTCAGCTACTATATTGTTCTCCCAACAGACGTCATTTGTTTCTGAGGGTCCAATTACCAGTAATTCCTGACGAATGTTCCCTCCCTTATGAAAACTATCTGAAAATTCTGTTACCATAAAGTTAAACAGTGATATTATGATGCTTCCATGATAGAACTGAATGGAAGAATAAGATTCATGTAGGCGACCCCAAAATTTTGGGATAAAGTTCTTTTTGTTGTTGTGACTTTCAATACAAAATTTAGCATAGTGCGGTTTTCGATTCTTGTACTCATAATGATTTGTCTATTTTTTTTACCGCATTGATTGTACTAATGAAATTGTGTTGATGTTCACTATGGATCATTCTCTTATCTTGGTGCAGTCGTTGGCAGGGCTTGAGTACTTGGATTTATGGGGCAGTGAAATTTCCAACAATGGAGCTGCTCTTCTTGAAAATTTTCCCAGATTGAACTTCCTGAATCTAGCTTGGACTAAGGTCACTGTGTTGCCACATCTTCCTTCAGTCACAACCTTAAACATGAGTAACTGCACCGTCCATGCTTTATTTGATGGAGAAAGCAAAACTAGAATTCCTTTGTCAAAGCTTCTTTTAACAGGAGCTACTATTGTTGATCCTAGCGAAGTTCTTAGAAATGTTGAAGCAAGCTGTATGACCTTCTTAGATATTTCTGGCTCTTCCACTTGCAACTTCAGTTTTCTTGTTAATATGAGGCGGCTGGAGCATTTGGATCTCAGCTCAAGCAATATGAGCGGTAGTTTAATCGATGATTTAGCACATGTTGGAGACAATTTGAGGTACTTAAATCTCAGCAAGACCAAGATCACCTCTGAGGCAATTGCTTTGTTGGCTGGTCATGTGTCAAACCTTGAAACTCTCTCCCTTTCGTACACAGCAATTGATGATGCCTCTTTGCCATATATAGGGATGATGACTTCTTTAAGAACACTTGACTTAAGCCACACAGGAATTCAAGGTATGAAATCTCTCCCTCAAAATTTTGTCACTTTGACAGAAGATTAATATATGTTGTGTTCTAATCGTTATTTTTTATGGGAATAACAGGTTTTCTTTCGGATAAAACATTCTCACTGATAGAGCTACAGAATCTGAGTATTTTGGAAAATCTGAATCTGGAAGAGACTTTAGTTAGAGACGAGGCTTTATATCCCTTGGCTTTCTTTAGAGAATTGAAATGTTTATACCTGAAGAGCAATAATCTTTCTGATATTGCCCTCCAAGCTTTATCATCACCTCTCCCAAATTTGCAAATTCTAGGATTTCGTGGTGCTGTGCTGACAAACTCAGGGCTTCTTTTGTATAGTCCCTCACCAGTGCTTCGTACGTTAGACTTGAGAGGATGTTGGCTTTTAACTGCAGATGTTATTTCATTATTTTGTAAGCATCATCCTAGAATTGAAATCAGACATGATGTGAATTCTGCTATTGGTTCATCCTCATTTCAAAATCCTTCAAAAGGACCAAGAGCAAGGCATGGGGGAGAAAAGTTACTCGAAGTCCCAATTTTAGTAGGTATGAATTCTGCTATTGGTTCATCCTCATTTCAAAATCCTTCAAAAGGACCAAGAGCAAGGCATGGGGGAGAAAAGTTACCCGAAGTCCCAATTTTTGTAGGTATGACTCTTAAATGATTGCACTATTATCTGTAAGATTTTTAATTAATTGTTGCATTCACATCTAATTTCTTTTTTATTGTGGTAATTGTTTCAGATGAGAGAATAAAGTACGTTCGAGAGGAACTGTTGGACTTGCGGTTTTCACCCCTATCAAATCTCACGCTGCAAGGACGAGAAATGTTGCCAACGATTTTGAGGAAGGAGTAAGTACTTTGTATTTTGTATTGCATCTCAATTTTTCTTTGAAGTGCATCTGCTTTGCTCAATGCTTGAAGGAATCTTACTTCTGTAACCTGTACTTGGCGCCATGTCATTTTAGCCCTATCACATGCAGCAAGCCTGAGATGTGCAAATTAACTCAAAGGATGATTCTCATTCTTGTTAATTATCCGTAAGCAGATGACTGATATTGGGTGATTTTTCCAATGAATTTGATTCCAGGTCAGATGCTTAACCCGGAAAATAGCAGGAGGGGGAAAACCCCATTTGAGGAGAATGGTATTTGAGGGCTTTATCTTTTTTTTTTTCGAAGAAAAGTTCTCGACAGCCATTGTTAATGAGGATATATTGACTGTCCCATAGAACGTAAGTATGTAATCTTCAGAGTACTGCTGGGGGAGAGAGTTACTGCTGAGACGTCTGTAAATGGAACCAGCATTTAATTTTGGTTAAATTTTTGTTCGGCTCATCCCATCTTTGTCCAAATTTTATTCTCATTATGACAATCTCGGCAGAAAGGGGGACACTGTTAGAAAACAAACTTCATAAAGAAACAATGTAGTCAAAGCTAAAATGGCACAAGGCACTGATTATTATTACACAAATTCAAGATAAAAACACTCTCCTGGCTAACATCACCCTACGGCATTACAGTTATTTCCTCTAATTAACCTCCTAATACACTAATAACCATTGCTCTGTTTCCTCCAACTCCATGATCCCCAGCTGCCTCCCCCTCACGGCGACACAAAGCTGCAATAACAAACGACGCATCATGATATTAGCTGAGCGAAAAAGTTGAAGAAAATCAATTGCTTAATATGCTAATTGCAGATGCACCCCTATATTACCCATGATTTTTCTAAATGTTTTTTTTTTCGCTTTGCCAAATAATAAATATTAGGAGACCTTTCAGCAACACACTGACGTCACACGCAAATACAAGTAACTGGGAGATAATTAGATTTGGACGTCAACTATCTAATTATCACAAAATACAATTAACAGAGAGATAATTCGATTTGGACGTCAACTACCTAACTATCATACCTATCACAGTCCATGGTGGGGGAGAGAGTGAGATTGAGGTTGAGCCCGCACGTGCGGGGTAACACCGCAGCACGATTGAGATCAACCATGGGGAGCCGAGGGGCGATGGACTTGATGCAGTCGCAGACGGCAACTCGGTCCGCCACCGAGCCCGTCGACGCGGTCTGGTTGAGGGCGGCCACGCCGCTGCAGCATGGGCCGTACGGGGCCCAAGCCCTGTCGGCCAAGTAGGCGACGCAAGGCGTTATCATACGCGCCACCATCTTGCACGTCGGAGACATGGATTGGGACGGTGAAATAGCGATCGCGGAGAGGAGGAAGAGTAGGAGGAGGAGGCGGCGGAGGGGGAGAGCCATGGGGATTGAAATGATTGATATATAATGATGATGCTGAGTTAACGAGAGGGCTGGGATTTAATTAACTAAGTAATTTAATGGGTGAGTGTATGATTTATAGATGGGTGGATGAGAGGGTGAATGCATCATGAGGTTGTGATGGGGGCGAGGGAAGGTGAGGGATGAGGATTTCATGGCTTTTCATTCGCATCAGCATGCATGAAGGTGTGAGGGGGTCTGCTCATCTGCTTGTGAACTTACCCCCCTAGGATCTAACAATATCTCGGATGTATTTATCAGTTATAATCTTCCATAATGATATAGTTTTCTATTTGGTAAAACTTCAGCGGAGGTTGCTCAAAGCATTTGACCAAATATTATATGAGTCCTTAATGTTTGAAAGTGGTTCCTAACAAAGGTCCATTCTATAAAGTCCATTAAATCTCGCTGACTTTGTAAGACATGGTCTTGCCTTGCTACTTCCGCGTTAAAAAATTTAGTTAAATTCTAAATTTAACACAAACTTATAATTTGACTATTTTTGTTGACGCGGTAGGAGAAACTAGGATCTCACTAATTTGTTTGCTAACATGATAGCACCACATTATCGTCACGTTTGCGAAGCTTGCCCAAAGTTTATAAAAAAGGATCTAAGTTGACGTTAGGGACTCCACTGATGATTTTCAAACATTAAGAATCTAAATGATATTCCGCTAATTTTTCATTCACCTCAATTGAACTTTTATGTTTTAGGCATGCCCAAATTGACATTCTCAAACTTCTAAGTGCTGAAATAATGGCCTAGGCAAGCCTTATAGGCCTAGAAATAAGGATTCGTTTACTTACTATGAGCTAACAATTTAAATTGGCCAAGAATGGATAAAATGAAATGGGCGCGAGTCCAATTCATACGTAATCCGAAACAATTTGTCTGACTAAAGTATGTTTGTTCGCGCAGAAACAACTATGAAGTTAGTAAAGCAAAGAAAACGGAGGATATTTCTGCTATTTTTGGACAAAAAAATTATTTATTTCCATTGAAAAATTATGTCTACTCCTTCCTTAAATGCTACTGTGACATCTATACCGTACCTCAACTTCCTAGAAGTTGTTCCCCTCCTCAGGAGCCCGAAACAACTCGGAAGTAGGGAAAAGCATAAGCATGCGTAGGGCCAAACGAAAGATTGAGCATGTGAAAAAGGGATTTTCGAAGTCAATCAGAATCTAGCTTAATTATCTCTATCTCTTGCACGGATTTATATGTAACGTAAATCCAAGTTTATGCACAATTCCATTAAGAATCCAAAATATGGCACCAATAGGAGGGACAAGTGAGGTGTCCCCTTCCTATTGGATAATGAGTTGGTTATCATTAATGATGATCAACTTATTATCCAATAGGAAGGGGACACCTCACTTGTCTTCCCTATTGGTCCCATATTTTAGGTCACTGTAGCAAAGCTCTTCCATTAAACAGTAACACATCTTACTATATCTCGATTGCAGACACGCCCTTATGGCGCTATTAGTGCGGATAAGTCTCTTGAGAGAACCTTTTTTCTTTCCTATTTTAACCTTCTCAATGATTAAAAAAAAGGTTTTGCTATAAGGACTCAAAATATGGGACTAACAGGAGGAAACTTTCTATTGCATAATGAGTTGGTCATACCAGCTCATTATCCAATTAGAAGAGGACACCCTACCTACCCTTCCCGTTGGTCCCATATTTTGTTTCCTTGGTGATTTTTTCTAAAAAAAATCACTCAAGAGGTCTATCTAGTAAAGCTATAAAGTATCTATCCGCAATTAACGCTTCTAAAACTTCTCGCTTGAAAGAATAAAACTCCATAAAAAATGATACAAGGTGGCAGGAGAGGATTCACGTGTTTCGCTGTATCAATTCTAAATTGATGAATTCAGGGTCATATCAGTACAATTAAGTATCAAATCCGTGTGAGCAACTATCGCGTCAATGCAACCATTGACTGAAAATCTGCGCTCAATAATGAATTCAGGGTTTTGTCGGAATGCATCTGTACAAATTAGTTGGGGAGAAATTAGCATTAATCTAGAATTAATGAGCCTTAAATTAACAAAAGTTTAAATTTAAGGGTTTTTCTATAGAGTGCTCATAGGCACTCTATAAAAGAGGAGAGAGATAGAAAGAGATGATTGGGGAGGGGATCCCAATATAAATCAGGTGGGGCCCCTCCTCAATCATCTCTCTCTCTCTCCTCTTCTATATAGTGCCCATAGACAATCTATAAAAAAACCCTAAAATTAATCTTAACCTAAAAGTTATGGCTATTAAGTATTGACTCAAACTTCTATTTAAACTCATCGTCTTTTCTTATTTTATCCGATGCGAAACTGTACTCATGTATTAATCACCTCAACTAACTTGGTTTATTAAAAGAAAAACATTGACAAAATTTGCGATATGAATTGTTAGTTTCGAAGAAACCAATCGTTGCTTCAACTAATCAACAAAAAATTCAAACTGTCAAATCATAATCTTGGACTTGGACGAAATGAACATGCGAACATGACTACTACCAAATAGTTAAGGGTGTGTTTCGATAGATGTAATTGGAGCTTCATGATGTTTCAGTTACACCTAAGTTTTAAAAGTATTATTTAGTTAGATATTATTGCAATATCAAAAAAGTTATAGTAACAACAAAATAAACTAAAAATAGAGGTATTAAAACGACACTTAAATTTAAACATGTTACAGCACCTTGAGTCAGAACATCATCAAC